GTGAATTCATTTACGGTCTTTTCTACCCAATATTGTACTACTTATTTCTTATCGGGCCAATGAAGTCAATGAATCTGAAAGTGCAGCAATATAGAGTTCTGACAATTCAAGTAATTTATTTAAATCCGGGTTCTATTATCGGGCTAGTGCAGAAGCCCTCATTTAAATTGATTTATGACAGAAAACATTAATAATACTACAATAAAGACAGTCATGGCATCTACTCCAAACGGATACAACCTCAGAGCAGTCGATACTAGCACAGGCCTTCACTCTAACAGTTGCATTTGGCCAAATCTAAAGTCGTGGGAATCAAATTAGGAGTTACCTTCGATCTTGTTCGTTGTCCAATGCTGCATCATTTTGTACCGCTAAAATACCTCCTAGTAGTACTTTTCCTGATAACTCTTCGGATTATTGTTGCTATAGTTTTGTTCTCGTGGGTGAGTAGAATTAAAAGAAACCAAAAATTATCAATGGGGTTAATTTTGACGTGGGTCGGAGAAAGAGTAATTTGCGCCATTGCACTGGGATTTTCTCCTAAACTGCCCTCCCCTTAGGATGTTGTTACCTTCCACAGTCTTCTCTTTTATTTATGTGCACGTCAGTAGTAAAAATAACAGGAATGTTGAATGCTTGGGGCCACACATAACCGGTACTCGCTTTTTTGGCGCCCCGTGTCTGGTATATCGGCCACCGCGACGATAAAAACGAGGCAAACAGAACAAAAAGCTTGGTAGTCAGTAAAACTGTTCCAATGCTTACAAAGCAGTAAATGCAGGGTAAATTTGTGTTTTGGGAGTGTTGCATAAGCGTGGGACCATATTTCAATTCTTTCTCACTGATCCGGGGGGAGGTTAATCCGGAGAATTGTTTGGCAACATCATCAACAGATCTTACTGCGGGTTGGCATAATCATTTTCTTCTTTTCCCACACCCTGTAAAAAAGCTTTTTTTTTTAAAATCTGCTACTCCGAAGAAATTCGTCAGTAAAGAATGTTTAGGTAAGCGAGGGTGTCAAGCTCTAACTCTGGAAGCAACTTGTTACCGATTCAGCCTGTTTGAACGAGTCTTTTTAAAATTAATCAATTTTGACAGTTCACTGTGATTTCGCCAATTGATGTGCTTTTAGCTGCAACACCAAGTAGTGAAGTAATCAATATCAGATAAAACATTTTCCAGATTTCTGAGAACCCGTGTTATTTCATACAAGATTCCTTCTGTAGTAGTCTATCGATGGAGAAACTAAAGTCTTTTCCTTGAACTGTCATACTCTAGATTTGTGCCAGCATTACAATTGATGTCCTTGGTGTTACTGAAAAGAGCAGTCTGTATTCAGTAACGAGGTTAATTTTCACATTTTATGAAACCAAAATTTTATTTTCATTGTTACTTGAGATATTTTAGTAGAGAATACTACAATATATGCTAAGTCAAACTGACCTAACTGAAAACCGTTACCTCTAACCTTCTTTACGTGGGTACCATTAGATTTATTTCCAGTGGCAGTTTTTACGTAGAATCGATTTAAAAAGCCTCCCAGCGTTCGGAGTGCACACCGCCTAGTCAATAAACGCCAATACTACCAGAGCCACGTGGGTGCGGATGTCCCATTCGCCTAACGGTTAACACGAGAAAAATCCCCGCCCCCAACTTCAATCTAACAGGATCTGTAGGAGAATAGGACAATACTTCAACGGCATCACTTGGAAAAGCATGCTTGATCAGGAAAAGTGGCAGTCATTCTTGTGTGGCGCGTGAATTTAAAGTTTAATTATACATCATAATTTGATCTTCCTCTTAACTCAATGTGAGATGAAAAACTCGAAAATCTGACCGCATTATTAGAGCATAATAACTCAGCAGAGAAACATTTCCAGCGCCCTCTTGGCACAAATACGCCGCTACGACGGCTTGTAGCTACTTGCACTGACAACCAATCAGTTTCGTGTAAATGACCTCAATCACACGAATGCGTATTTCATGCCCGATTCACTCGCTCGTGTGCACGCGCTTAGACGCATAAACAAACATCACAAGCACCAATCAAGGCGCAGCGTAGTCGTAAGCGCCGATCGATAGCCAGTGCCAACGCTATTTTCAGGTATGCATACACAAACCCGGGCTTTTGCCTTTCAATTAATTAGACGTACACATATTGCAATATAATGGATAGATAATGTGGGCTTATTAGAGCAATATATTAGTAATTTTTCAGGCAGGCTACTTGCTATCAGCCAGTTCGGTGATTTTACAATTTATAATGCGGAATTTTGTTTTGAACGACCTCTTTAGGCTCCTTGTGCTCGTTGCAACGGACTGGAGACCTAAGTCCCTAGTATGAAATTTGTTGGTTCCTTACCTCAGCCACAAAACCTAAATCATTGTGACGAGTTAAGAGAGCACTATATACCACCCAACAAGGATTGAGTCAGCGGAGGGACAGAACGACAGCCGTCTATTCGAGATCTCGACCAATTCGTCGTCGGCGTGTGTTCACGCGGTTGTGTGGCGTTTTAGCAGATGTTCAAGCGTGAAATAGCGTGATTCGTAAATGTGCTAACATCGAGACCTTGGTGATAATCCACGATAATCGATCGCGCCAATGAGGTGAGTCGTAGTTCTGTGGGGGTGAGGACATGCTATGAAAGGGGGAACACAGTGTAGGAGACTAGAGAGGCCGGATTAATGAGTGTGGATCAACGCGAATCACAACGCATCTAAAATGATGGGAAGAGAGCACACGAACAAGAGGTTGAGGGCATTGTTGAAGCTCTTACCAAACGAAGGAAATTTGATTTAAAAGACGTGTGTGACGTTGACAGACTAGTGGTGTTTTGAAGATTGTGTACTCAGCTTTTGGTGTGGGTCTTTTGCATAAGACAGATTCAAAATATATGCAAGAGGCTGCTCTCTGAATTTCTACTGTTCTCATCGCCAAAGCTCGAGTGTATCTCCACACGCTAAATTAACACAGGGCAAGACAACTGAATTTTATTAATTAGTGATAAATTTAAGCCTTCTGCTGCATAAATTAAACTAAAAATGTAGAATGTTTTCCATGCTTGAAATTCGTTTGACACCAACGTTTTGCACATGTTGAATAAGCCATTTAAAAGTATCCCGTGTGACTAATCAGCTGATTAGGCGATATGACAGCTAAAAATATTTTAGAAGACCATTTACACTCCGATGTTCAAATTTTTCATTCCTCGTAACGTATTCGTCTAAAAAAGCTGATTACTGACTCTCGCGACAAATGACTTTAAGGTACCATATTTTAAATGCAGTGTCATTAGATCAATGACATTAACGTAAGTGCGAATGCGGAAAATCTCGAATTGAAGGCAAGATGGTTGGTAATCATTCGTCTGCCAGGGTGTACAGACTGCTTGGGACCAATATTTATTCGAAATATCGCAATCACACCCTAGCTTTTAATATCGCCAACATCAAACTGCAAGGCTTACTTCTCTTGACTTGAAAACAACAGCTGACAATCATGAGAGCTAAGATTCCTCAGAGAATTGCCGGTTTGGTTCCCAAAAGCACACACGAGTAGACTGAGAAAGAAGACCGTAGATAACACGGGGCCCATTGGATTTATCGTCACAATTTGGGCTTAGTCGCTGGAGCATGCTATGCTTTAAATTGCATTCAAGATAATCGTGTTTGCTCACGCTTAGTAAAGATATTCACGTGCAGATCGTCATAGCTACATGGATTAATTTCAAGATTATCGATTGAATTAAGGTTTGTTGTTTAATCAGCTTCCAGATTCCGTTAGAACCATAAAAACAAGCTTGTAGTTATGGTAAAATAACAGCACGTTTAGAGGAGGTTTTTGCAGAAAAGACGAGTGCGTTAATTCCCGGAGTTATACGATAGAAGCTACTGCAGTGGAGGGAAACCGTTACAAGCACACAGGCGCGTATCCCTGTCAATTGCAGTATTGGGCGAGGTTACAAGGTTTGTGTACCCACTAACCAGTTTAAAGTGCTATAAATCACTCAAAACCTGTCAATTACCTTAGCTTATGAAGATAGCCAATTACTGAAGATGGCAACAGCGGCATGCAGCCCCATCTGGGTAATCGCTGAGATCCAGGAAAAGCTATAAAATTTAGTGAGAACTCCCGGAAGCATTTCTCCAGGGCATAATCAAGCGGCATTAGCCACTTGCAGGGGGGCATAACAGGCGTCAAGCGTGGAGTTTCCACTTATTAGTAAGGTGCAACAAGCACATAATCGGGCACGAGGTTGTCGAAGTCATCCCTATCCACATGACATGATCAGTTCCACTTCTTATACTATGGCATTTACTTGAAAAAAAGGACGAAGTCTTTCGGCACGCACCAATCTTGATCAGTGAGTATTAAGTCGAGATCTATAGAAGTTAGGGCTATTGTGCCAAATACGCAAATACATGACTCCCATAAAATCTGTTTCTCGCAGTCAGAAGCCGAAAAACCCGACAGCAACAAAGAGCTTGTGGCAGTGTTCATAAAAGAGAAGCCACCACGCAGAAATAATGATTTAAATCGACATGTAGCCACCTCAATACACAAGGGTTATAATATCACTTTCACGACATGAACTCTTCTAAAATCGAAAACAGACCACCTCCTCTTATCATGTTCCATATATGGGCCAGCAAATTTAGCCCGGGCGACGTGAAATGAAGCGTCGGCTACAAATATGACTCCGGAGCCCCCAGACTACAAAGTTAAGAAAATGACCACAAATTATCTGAAAATATGCGGGTTTAATCGCCAGCCAAACCATTCACAGGGTCTTTCATTGCATACAGAGTCAGTAGAAAAGAGCGTGGGAGCCGATGGAGGTATGGCAGGGATAAATGCCCATATATACAGCTCTGTCTGTACAATATGTATATATAGGATTTGGGGTTACAACTCTTAGCATCACAGAGTAAACACGCAGCATGGTCACGGACGTCTCTACACTGTACACGGAATCATGCGCCTGGATGCGCACGCACTAGGGCCGATTGGACAGCAGCCGAGGATCACGAGACGATGAGGAGAAAGACGCAAGCGATGGTGCTACAATTGGAGGAGGAATAATGCTGTTACAGGCGACCGAAGATGGAGCAGGCAGGAGAGGAGCAGGGGGTGATGGGTGGCGCTGCCAGGAGGGAGGTGGAGGTTGGAAGGAGTAGGGTGGGGGGATGCTGCTAGAGGCAGAATCCATACCATGTCCCTGAGACAACGGAGGACGGTGAAAATCAGAGTTCACGTAGGTATTGAAGCCAGGACCGGGTCGATTGAAGGCGTTGTTGTATCTTTGAAGAAAAACGCGAAATATGAAGATAGTTGCTTTATAAAGAAAGCAAAGATCCCAATTCACCATAACACAAGTAGACAACAGTCTACATTGAACGCACGCGACGTGAATAAACACATACAAAAAAAAACAACTGCAAACTCCCTTGTTCCGATTTTTGAGGTAAAATTTGTTAAATATGCACACAGTCACGCAGACGAAGCTGTGAGGCTTCAGACACACGAACTTACCGATCATTGTTAAAGTTCCCTGAACTTCCAGACCAGTCGTTGCGACTACGGTGCCTTGGCAGTCTATCATTTGAATTGACACCTCGTCGACAACTCGCCCATTCCCCAGTGAATTTCTTTTCCCCAGCATTGGGTGAAGAATAGCGCTTACCACCTCCGCTACTACTATGTCTGTGATGGGAGTGACCGCGGTGCTGGGAATGGCGATCCACGTTTTTTTTGCTATCGCCTCCAACGTCGGGGTCCTCATGGTGACGACTGTGGTGGTTCTCCTGATGACGATGATGGTGTCGATGATGATGACGACCACGATCGTGGCTATTACAGTCATCACGGTGCTTGTCTGATAGCTTGGTGGACGAATTAGTTTCGAAGTCATCTTGCTTAATTAATTCATTTGCTCGCGCCAGTCGGTAAGCCTGCTGCAGTTCGGAAGCATTTCGTTCAGAAAAGTTTTGCACAAATTCCCAATACAGCCTAAAAATGAATACAATTTACAAGTCATTTCAAGAAATTTTACGTCAGCATTTACAACAGCCACACGTTTTTTGGAGTTCAAAACAGTGACAGGCGTAAGGTCTGGAGATAAAAGAACTAGATAAACTTGTCACTTATCAATCATGCAGATTATGTGTAGGGAACTCGACTTCACAAGTTTCAATTTGGATTGTCGTCCAAAATCCTACCTCGGACAAATGACGAAGGCCTACTAAGAAAGCCATAATAAAAACATACCCGGACCGCATTCTGGATGAAATTGAACTAGACCTAGTAAACTGTCTAAGGTCACACCTCCTGTTTTGAACTATACATCACAGCAATCCACCTTGATGATGGTCAAAGTTAAGCTTAATTTATGTGAACAGACATTAGCTATCCCAACGCAACTGCTTAAATTGTCTTTTCGTCTAATCGAAATTGGTAAAGATGAAAGGATGTTAATATAATTTTCCACTTTAACACGTTTTTTTATCAAAGCAGTGTAAAACGATGCAATAAGTTAATGAAAGAGGGGTAAACAGAACGAGGCGCTGCGAAACTACCAAAAGAGAATCAATCGAACAAACACACAATAGTGTAAGACAGTCACAGAGGGAGGAACAAATGGGAACTCACTTTCTCCAAGTGTGGCGTTGTTCACGATCTTCAATGCCACTAACTAACATCCGAATGTGTTCGCCAATACCGAGGACGACACGATCGAATTGCTCCCCCTTCATTATGTTATCGTTCTCTAAGCGCTCCAAATGCTTAAATAACTTCTTAATTGGATGAAGTTTCTGTTTGCACTAAATTAAAGCAAACAAACGTAAGTTAGAAAAAAAATCAGAGATTGAACGCGACTACAGCAAACAGCCCCACCTTGTCAAAAAGTGGTCCACGCATTTCATGGAACTCCTCCTGTTCTGCTTTGCTAATTGACACTAGATCGTGATTGGCAGTGTAATGCAAAGGCTCGTGCTTTGGTCTTGAGTCTTTTTTGGTCTTCTTTGCTGGTGGTTGGTCATCATTGGTCTCAGTTTTTAGCGGCCGCTTTGTGGATTTCTTTAACTTTAAGGACTGTATAGTGGGAACCGAAGGCATATCAACATCATGTTCGGAATCCGATGAACTGTCGTCAGACTCTACAAATTCTGCAGACTTGGGTTTAATGCCTGGACGTGATGAATCCTCTGTGAGGATTGGGGCTGTGGAACGCTTCGAGTGCTTCTTTTTTTGTTGCTTCGAGGCCTTTTCGTGACGTCGATGCATTACCCCTTTTTTGGAGTCCTTGGTATTTGCTGTTGTGATTGATTTGTTCAAAGTCTTGAGGAGATAATCTACACGGGCCCGAATGTGGCTCGCCTGGGGTCGCTCATTTGCAGATAGCGGAAGGAGCTTAGAACCGAGACCAAGATCGGAATCCAATTTAATCGCTTCCCAATTGTCGTAACCGTGCTCATAGACCCCAACAAGCAAATGAACATCGTCTTTGGCATCCCAAGGGTTCGACCAATTAGCATACTTGGGAACAAATGGAAGCTCGTAGTTCAGCCTGTCTTCTTTGGAGGATGTGGGAAGCACCTTGTACAAAATCTCTAGGTGGCTTAAACTCATAAATAGGGATTTGGCAGCGACAGCAACCTTGCCATAGTAGTAGACTGGTCCCTTTTGTTTGGAGGTGTTACTAGCCACGCTATCAGCTGTCTCCGATGGCGATTGCATTGCAGCCTTGCAGCCCTTAAGAATTGTTTCTACCACTTCACGAACTTCGTAACTCGTTCGATCAGGTAATTCGGCTTCAGCCGCAATTGCATCTATACGTTCAAGTGGGCGTGCGAACCGTTTTATGGCCCTAACAAGAGCTCGAATCTCCTTATCCGACAAACGAGCAGGGCGCCTCCCGTCAAGCTCACTTTCTGAACAGGAACTACCAGTGTGCTCGGAATTGTCGACGCCAGCCTGAAATGTTTTCACTTGTCTTCTGCGGCGTGGCCCTAATTCAAGATCTAAGAGGGCATCTTGACTCTCCTCTCGTTTCACCTGCTCTCTCATCTCCTCAGGAATTATTTCGGACCACATTTTAGTACCTTTTCCTGTGGGTTCAATTTGGACGGGTTTTGTGTCTTCTTGTTCCAGCTGATCGAGGGTCACCACATTAAAGGTGGAGAGAAGAACGTTTGCCGGATTATAAGGGTCTTCTTCGGCATTCGCATCTCGCATTTCAGCACGGTTGAGGATATCATCTATGTCGACCTCAACCTCAGCAACTTCCTCTTCATTTTGCTTAAAAATACTCTCAGCACCATGGCGGAGAATCTCAGTAAGAACCTGACCTTTTGAATCAGTTTTTCGATTATTTCCACCCCGACTACTTCCCGAGTCCATTCGTTGAATAACCAGATGATCGAGAAGCATCTTTCGAGTAGCACTTTCAATAATTTTTTCTTCGACGGAATCCTTCACAACCAGTCGGTAAACGGACACTTGTTTTGTTTGGCCGATTCGGTGAGCGCGCGCTTGCGCCTGAAGGTCGTTTTGTGGATTCCAATCGGAATCAAAAATAACTACAGTATCAGCAGTCGCTAGGTTGATACCTAGACCACCGGCGCGCGTTGACAAGAGAAAGCAGAAGTCGGTCGATCCCTCGGCATTAAAATGATCAAGTGCCTGTTTTCGAAGTTCACCCCGAATTGAACCATCCAAACGTTGGAAACCCCAGCCGCGAAGTTGAAGGTAGTCAGCAATTATATCGAGCATTCTTACCATCTGACTGAAAATGAGAACGCGATGACCCTGTGGTTTGAGTCGTTGGAGAAGCTTATCAAGAAGCATTAATTTTCCGCTACCTCTGATAAGTTCGCGAAGAGTTGCGTCATCTACTCGACGAAAGTCCTCGTCCGGTGGAGGTGCAATAAGGTTCGCGTGGTTGCAACACTTTTTAAGCTCCATCACAATATTGATGAATGACGTTTTGTGGCCACGAGTGACTTTCAGTAATCCATCATAGTTACGGGCAAGTATAAGACGATAAAGAGTTGCCTGTTTTTTCGACATTTCTACGCGGAGAATTTGTTCCGTCTTTGCAGGAAGCGACTGCTCAACGTCTTTCTTTACACGGCGTAAAAGAAAAGGTTCGAGAGTACGGTGAAGGTTCTTGATTGCTTCATAACTATCTGGCGAATTAGTTTGTCCCTGGAGGCTATAGTTTGATTCGAATTCTTCCCAATCTTCAAATAGATTTGGCATCAAGAAATGCAAGAGGGACCATAGCTCTTTGAGAGAGTTTTGAAGAGGTGTGCCCGTAATTAGTAACCGAGTGTTGGTGTCAAAAGTGAAAAGAGTTTTGTACAACTGGCTGGCATCATTCTTCAAACGGTGAGCTTCGTCAACCGCCAGAGCCGCCCACGAAACCTGCCCAAGCCACGACTTGTCCTTCAGCAATATCTCATAGGTCGTAACGCAGACGTTAAATTTGAGCAGCTGCTGTCGTCTCCCACCACCTACTCCGGCATGAGACCACTCGTGTTCGCGAATGAACTGCCGCGAAATATGATCACCTACGTAGACAATCATGTTCAGCTGAGGAGCCCAAAGCTCGAACTCCTTTTGCCAACTGGAAATGGTGCTCAAGGGAACAACGAGAAGAAAGGGCCCATGGATACCGTGCTCATGAAAGAGGTAGGAGAGGAAACTAACTGCTTGGATGGTCTTCCCGAGACCCATTTCGTCAGCAAGAATAACGCTGTTACCACGAGTCCATGCGTGCGCGATCCAATTGAGCCCCTTGAGTTGGTAGTCACGCAACTGCAAGTCAGCATTACCTTCACCTACGTATTTAGGCTGCTCCATGAGCCGAACAAAACGTGGACGATTCAAAAGAGCCGCGTGATGTAAATTTGGCAGAGTCGTCGAATTGCATCGCCTCTGGTAAGCCTCGATAGCTCCAGGATAGAGAAACTTGATAACTCGTCCTGATTCCCATGTACAAAATCGGTAGTCGAGCCGACGCCACTTGCACAGATAGTCAACCGACCCCTGTTCTTTGTCCCGGCTGTGAGCGACAATTCTATCAACATCCATCTTTTCCGAAAGAATGAGTTCATTCCGCTCATCTTCGTAGAGCATCGCTTCAAGTTCGTCACGGCCGGCTAGCTTTTCGCGTTCTTTTCGCTCTTCAACGATCGCCTGATATGCGTAGAGGCGTTTCAGTCCATCAACGGGACACCCACGATCGGTGCTTGTAAGTGAGGCCTCAGTCTCCCAAGTGGAATGGATGTGGCTCCAAGAGCGCCACTTGATCAAGTATTGCACCTCACCCTTTTCCTTAGCAGGATCAAATCCTTCATTTGGATCGTATTCAAGACGACAATTGTAAAGGGTTGTCCGATTCCCTGTGGCACCGACGCGACGAACAGCGTGACTCAGAACCTCTTCAATCACGTCAGTTTCCTCCTCACCCATGTCTGCACCGGTGTAATCAGTTGGAGCTTGCCGGGAATCCTCAGCTGTTGAGTCATCGGACAAATTTTCATGTTGCGGACCGTAAGAATCAGCATCAGAGATATCAGCTTGCTTTACTTCCTCCAAGAAGTGGTACCTAACAAGATAAAACAATGTTTCGACGATAAAACGCGGAAGGAAAAAAAATTAAAAAGTTTCAATAGCACAAGCATGAAGTGAGGAAATGATGAAACTACATTGGTGAGGCGGATGGAGGGAGGGATGAATGCAAGGCGGACAGGTGCATGCTCTAACCTTTCAGACGCCTTCCCAGACATTCTTATCAGGGGACCTCGCGGTTTTTGCAGCATTGCGTGCTGAGTTCTACATACACATAATATAAACACTTATTAGGTTATTGGTAAAGGCTAGAGTGGGATCAGAATAATGTTGAGCAACAGATCGTACAATTGAACCTACGGAACAAACCTGTTAGCATTTGCAGCCAAAGGAGCCCGGCGACTGCGACTTTCTGCTGTGTGCCCGTTTGCCATTTCATAATCTCCATCATCTGCCGAATCACTTTCGTCATTGAAAGCACTTTTATAGTTGACCCGGCAACCACGAGTGCGGCCCGAAAACCGGGAACTGTGCTACAAGAAATACAGACGTACACGTACATAGTTCATCACCTTAAGTCATTTGAAAGGTTAAAATTAATGCTAGTTTTCATCGTAAATTGATATTTCCATAAACTGCGTTAGAAAAATCCAAGTTTAAGGTATCGAGAAAACAAGAAAGTGATAAAATAATCCGTCCAAAAAAATCCAAGCATGAAAACCGCCGATGTAATAGACGAATAAAACATAAAAGCTTCAACTTTCCAATTTAATTGCCCTTTCAATCCTGTTAAAGGGGGCAGCTTAAAAGCGACTACTGTGCAATTACTCAAAAAAAATTTAAAAATGTAATTTGTGAATCAACCCACTCGATTACAGAACCTAAATACGAGCCCGATCCACAGGATTTGCCGATTTTCACATAAAGACCCGCAACCAGAAAATCGAAAATAAGTACCCACAATTACTGCAAAATTACCCTATTTTTGTACAGCCCCCGATTCGAACTGCTTTCCGAAGAATTCTCATCACGTGCCTCTTCATCTGAATCAGATTCTGAGAGGATGCGCCCACGCGCCTTAGTCGGGGGTCGTCGCTCTATCCCAACTTCTGCAATGGCGTCAAAGCGATTGGGCTCTTTACGACTCCTTTCTGATCTCCTGATACCATAAAGCTCGGGGTCATACTCAAAGTCCTCCCGAAGCTAGAAATGAGAAACTGGGACTTTACTTAACGAAGATGGGACCAAATTTGTAATGCTTGAACAAGTGAACTCACCTCGCGAATATTCTGTTTGCGGGACTTCTCCGGTTTGCGCCCAAATGAACTGTGCTGATTGAAATCTGATGCCTCATGTGAGTACTCATCGACATCGTCACTTCTAAATATCAAAGAAAAGTGGGTTTGAATCGTGAAGAGGAGTGCATAGAGTAGCTTAATCGATTGGTTAGGCTACGGCAAGACCAGAGTGAAGCTGGAAACAGGCGTAAAGGCTTCTGCAGTACACAAATCGCTCTGTTGGTCACCTGATTAAGGTTTCGAAGGCACATCTCACCCCCACACAAAATCTAAAACCATTCGCAGATAAAAATGACCCCCAACCAGAGAGGCCAGCTGAGAACACACCAAATATTTACACCTGCTCAGCCAACTACTTGGACGATTACAATGCCTATACTATCCAAGTTTGAATTGAACCCCAATATCTTCATTTACGTCAGCGAAACTCAACATGGTTGTCAAGTCAGGAGGCGCCCTCCTAGGCCTCTCAATAAGACATAGCTTCATGAGCACATTGTCAAAAACAAGATTTGAAGTGAAAGGAATACATAGCGCTTCGAACAATGTCATCTATTACTAAACCAGAGAAGAATCGCCAACCGGCGCAACCAATTCAACTTTGAGAATCCAGAATACCTGGCACTGAAGACCACACGAAAAGCGAAGACATTGCACAGTATAAGCCTGACGCTCGGAAGATTAGTTAATCTTAATCTAGGACGAAACCCAGTTATGCACTAAAACGGCCATTAGGCATCAAAACGTCACCCACGGTCACGAAGTGAAAAATCTGGCAATGATTCTGACTTTGGCATGAGTTACTTCTGATGGGAATCGCAATATATCCCCACACCAGCTGACATACATAAGCACGAATTAAAATAAACTAATCCCAAGTAATGACAGCTGTCATCGTTTGATTCTTTTGGATGCCAAATCCCCCTAAATTAGTGGCCGCCACTCATTGACGACAACCTTATGTAATTCCAATTTATGAGACAAAACTCGGCAGTGAAACGCCACAAAACCGAACCCATTCGACGTAAAACCTCAGTGCAAGTAACTGTCGAAATTAGAGAACTGCGAAGCATGTGAATTTACACAGACGCACCCTATCTTACGCACTGCGCACAGTACTCACAAAACACAATGTGGAGCTATTGGGATACCCCCCACTAGACCTAAACGTCTGGACTATTTAGCATTTCATAGCACCACAATGCAGCATAAACTCAATCGAAATAAACCTAGCCAACTCCCCAATCTACACTAATAAAGCAGCAAAATATATGCGTAATCACAATTATAGCCAAGGTACAGGGTACCACCCACTTAAGCCAATGTTTCCATTAATTAACGATTCTGTTCAAACCGCAATTAAATGGCCGAACATCCATTCAACAGGCGGGACAGCACTTGAGTTTGCAGGAGAATGACGTAGACATCTCTCACCACGATATGAACTCCAGAAGTTCACAAAAAATCCTATTTAATGGTAAACGCGTGTTCGTATAAATGATACATCGACGAATAAAATCAACGCCCTTTTCACGTATTGAGATATAAATAAACATCCTAAGGCCATGGAGGAAACGTTAACCACGCCAGGAATGAAGGCGGTAAATGAGAAACCAGTAAGAAGGTCGCAGGCGACGCTCCGACCGCCCACCTGTGCGTATTGTGTTCATGGAGTTACTAAGTAATTTCGCAAACATCACGGTAACAAGGGTGGTACGAAAGTCCTTCACGCAGGCCAGATCATGATTAAGTTACTACGTTAAGTGAACAGTCAGACACCAAAAATCCAGTGCCAAAATTTATACAAAAACATAGCCACCAGACCTGTGAGGAACTTAAACACCGGTCACACGATGGCTAAGCCATTCCAAATGCGAACAGAGTAGTTTAAACACCCTGAAAGAGTGCTTCTACGTGGGACAAACGAGCACATAAACGAAATGGTGGCTGCATTCATCACAAGCTGGACGGGAACGTTTGAGAAGCCTTCAAGAGACAAGCAGCGATACATCGACCGCACTACGAAATGTGTTGCACAAAAGGTGGCGGAAATTACTTGGCAAACACCTCATCAGCATCCAACATTAATTTTCGAACTGCCAATATAGTTGCGCAGGACAATGACAAGTGCTGCAAGGGTTTGCAGCAATTCTAAGTCAACAGCGCATAGAACCGAGAATTACCCTAGGTAATTAAAACAGATAAGGAAAATTTAAATTGAGTCCGCTAAGTCCACCGAAGGCTTTTTGTGATCGCCTAGGAAGCAAGATGCGAAAGCTGAGCCCATCAGGGGCACACACATATATTGAAAACTGGTTCTCTTGAAGTTCGCGTTAAATTCTGATTTATTAGCAAACACAAAAGCACTATAATGAATTCCCGCGACACATTTGGCAGTGTTCCATAATACAGAAGGAACAAATATTAAATGAATTTTTATTAGCATTTTAGAAATAAACTAACACAATTAGAATTCAACTTCACAAACCGCAGCTCTTTACTAAGGCGTAAAGATAATCAGCGTCAGCATTAGGATGGGAATAAACCGAGGAGAGCGCTATGACAACTATTTAACTACAATTGAGTAAAAACGGTCGCAGGGCACGTGGTGAGATGAAGTGAGAAGTAAATAATTAAGGAGCGCACAAGCTTCCGTATTTTGGAACAAACTGGCCGATTTAGTGTGAAAAAAGCTATCTACTGATTTTTTTCTACAAAAATCGACGACAAGACGCCGATTCAACAAAATACGTGCTTATATTTCCATAAAACAGAGCTTAAATAACTCGAAAGTGTGCAATGTTCATGAAGAATCCGTCTGAACAGAACTAAGCACAAGTTACTAGCGAACCAAAATAAGCTATTTAACATTTCAAAACAATCCGCAAACCTCGATGATTCGCTCAATGTGCCATAACGGCGCTGTTGCAGTCGAAGCTCATCAACCATTACTAAAAAGAGGAAAAAAAGAAAACTCGATAAACTACAAAGCGCAAACCACGGTAAATTGACCCTTGAGTGCCACTTTATAAAACCAGCTAATTTACAAAATCTTAGAGGATCGCACGCGTGTTATGTGCATAACCACCTATAAAACAGCCATTTTACAAAGAAAAAGCCGTTATCTACCACATTTTAGAAAGCCACGCTTCTACTCAGCAGCGGAGCATGCATACACCCTCGCATGGCTGATTGGGAGGGAGCAAGAGCGACAACGCGCCAACAGCGATGAGAGATTCAAACTGACCTGGATGGAGAAACCGAAACAGGAATCAATCCAATATGGATGACCAACGTGTGGATTTGATTGGTTAAGTTGCTGCGGCTGTCAAACGTAGCCAAAAGTATATATTAAAACAAAAAACAAGTAAATTTTCCATAAAACACTTTTTTTATAAGTCAAATATCCTTTTTTTACCCGTAAAAATTTTTCAGTAACATATTCTTTGTGTGTTTTTAAAATAACTAAAAAATTTAGCAAGCTGACTGTACCATTTTCCTAATTTATATTTAAGGATAGCGGTAGATTCTCTGACAACTGCTTTTTGTGAATAAACCATAGTTTACGTAATACGCATGCACAATTATATGATAGCATTAAATTTTTCACTAAATATAGATTGGATTATAATGGCTGGCGATTGAGTGTTAATTATAACTGTTCGAAATTTATCTTCGTTTTAGTCTACAGTCGATAATATGATTTTAATTTTTTTATGCAGATGAATTATGCATTTTGTTTGGGTAAATACCATACGTTATGCCTTTTCTCTATCATATACTGACCACAAACATGAAAATTATAATGCACATGTTTTGCCCTTCGAAAAAATTTTTTCTTTAATAATATTTACAAACCAAATTCAGTTTAGTAGCAGAATTTTTTCAATATATTTTTGTTTGCAAAAAAAGTTGCGGGCTTTTTTTAATTGCACTGACTATTTGTCACTTAAATTTGGCTTAAGCAAGAGATAGAACTCTTTTAAGCTGATTTACAGCACAGACTCATAACATGGTAAATTCTTACAATGGGCTATCGACCAGTAGCACAGAGGAGTAAGGATGTGTTTAGTAACGTGATTCCATAAAATCGGGTTCAGATAAAGTAAAAGTGCAAGTAACAGCTGAGGTGTATTATCGCATGGTACATTTTCACACAATCAAATTCATCCTACATTTATGTTGCATATTTTAGCTCCACGCTGCAATCTAGATCACACCTGCAGTACTTCCTATCAAGGCTCTTAACGTAGGTTCATACATTCTTTTTTTAATTCTTGGAATTTATGTACACTTTCTGTTGACCTGGTATGTCGAGATCGTGAACATTTCTGCCAGTACACTTCTTTGCTTGAGCCACACGTGCTGCTTATGCACTAGTTCTTCATTTACAAATTTATGTAACGTTGTGGTTACGAGAGGCAATAAACAATGATTGGTTTCGACTTCGCCTCTATGATAACATCCGGAGTAAAACTGTAAACACGCACACGCATGGGTTTTCAAGTTGAATATTTATTGAAAAGGTGACTTACCATTAGTTAATGTTTGTTAGACAAAATCAAGGTAGGCTAATGTGCAGAATTGTGAGCTTAATCAGCCAGACATTTAAACATTGCATTCTGCAAATAAATCTACTGAACATTGTTTGCCTAAAATTACTTGTCGTAACGTTAAATGGAAGAGCGAGTAAGATATCATAGAAATTGCCTACATTCGATCCAGACTATCAGTAACCTAGGCCTCTTATCCTATCATTTTAAGCTCTTTTGCTGACGTTGAACATTGCTGTCCTCTCAGCAATGCCGTCATTGAATGGTAGACAGGTCCTTAGACAATTCTCTGAATTCAACCGGCTATCGTATAGTAAACCGATCCACATTCCATCCTAAATCTCATGGCCACAAATCTTGTAGATACCACGTTTAAAAAGTGTATCAATGAGATTTATAATCTTTTGTTTATTTTCGGCATAAGTTTCAGCTTTTGTCTCTTTAACCTACCCTCAATTTCTTAGTATGGCAAGCTGAAAGCACAGATTTAAGACTCGTTGAAACACCGGGTCACCAAACTATTGTCGTTATTGCGGCTAAAAGAAATAAATTTACAATTTAGATAAGTATTTCTAGTATTTATTAGCGAATTTGCTCCCGCATTCAGTCTGTTATTTTTAGTAAATTTGTCTATACCTGGGGTAACCTCAACCCACACCGAATTAGCTTGGGTGTTTATCCTGGATTACCACTACGTTTGGTAAGATTCATTTAATTCTCGATGTTATCACATCTATGAATCACGCTGTTTCACACATCACGCGCAAACGCCACACCCAACACTCCAGCAACAATTCTGTTAAGCTATCTACTAAAAAGTGTGTCTCTGCCGTCTCCGGCCTTCATCTCCAAGGGTACCAGGGTAGCGTAATCGAGGCAAATTCAACGCAGCGGCCCCTACGTGGTTTCGGACCACATGCCATGGCCCACAGCCACCTGATACTCCACGCATTAACTTAAGGCCGGTTTTGTTCCAGAACAGCCACTAGTTGAAACGTTCCTCTAGCGGTCAGCGAAAACCATAAACATTAAACAAATTGACATAAAATCACTTGATATTCAATTAAGCAATTGAGTGCTTCCATTATATTTAAAATCGATTACGAAGAGGATGAACGGGGCTAGCAGAGTACATACAACACTACAATACAAGGTGTGGCATGCCAGTCCGATCGCGGAATAAACGGTGGTGCCACTTACTCTTCAATGACTTCCCCGGACAAGGGGACATTAATGAGAGACTGTGCTACATTTTCCTCCTGTACTGTCGACACGTAAGTACTGTGATTTTCCAAGGTGTTCCAGGTAGTGCGATGTAAATACCCTCAATCACCACAGTTCCATCTCATAACAAATTTTACCGCTAATTAAAGGGCCCGGCCAGACAACTTGTTGCCTTTAATGATTAATCAAAACACAGCAGACAGGAGAAAAGAGTAAAAGAAGCGTGCAGCTGTAATTGGCATGCTAAAGACTTGGTATTCGCCACAATCTTGTACCAACTCTCAGAAACCTCACGACTAGGTCAAATCAGTACTCCTGCTTTACTAGTGATGTGGAAATTTGGTGTGGGCAACAGAAATGTGTATTCGACCGATTACCATGCATTTAGTCTGGAGGAACTAGACTTCACCAAACACAGGTTTGTTATCTCAACGAAATATTAACTATGAGAAAGAGTTATTTCGATATACAAGAAACAGTGTTTTAATTAGGAAAAAAGGCCAGCCAACACGTAGCCTGGCTAACAGCGTTCAAAAACCTTGTACAAGTCTGGTAGTGATGTGAGCTTAAGGAGGGCAGGTGATTTCTCGTCTTTTGTGGGGAAACACATGGTGTGAGTTGGCAGCAAAACCGTACGAATCGTCGGCAGCAGCACGTGCTCCACGGTCCAACTCCAGGGCGCAGCGCCCTCACAAGTTGGAGTTTTCGCCTCGTCAATTTCGGACCCATCTGCGGAGGAGCCAGGAGAATTCGCAATGGTCAAATCACAGTTCTTATCTAGAAGTGGCTTCAGCCTCACGGTATCTTTGATGCGTTTGGCATAAAAACTGGCAGTAGTGCGACAGATGCCCTCGAAACAAGCTCCCTCCTCGTTCCAATTCACTTCTCGGACAAGCCGAGTCAAGAATGTGGGAAGGTGATTCAAGTTTGGGATAAATCTACAGCGATAACCTTTAGAGTAAACGTCTAGAATTATTTGCTGTGAAATGCCAGAATATGATCATATCGTACCGATCAAGCAAAACGGGGAGGCTGTGTAAATGCAATATTCCATGTTCGTCGGGTTGCAGCTTCAGGGAGAAATAATCCCACAGCATGTTGGCTCGCTTAGAAAGAATTGAGCACCCTTTGTCTGCGAACGCAGTCACCTCAGCGGGCGAAGAGTCGGGCATTGCCCTTCTCAAGCCCAGATTCAGTAAGGTCCCAACAGGTGCGGATGGATTTAATACCATCTATAAAAAGAGCGGAACAGGGATGGTCTAAGATAGTGCGCTTACCTCTCCGTGGTTTGCGAAATTGGCAACTAGGAGTTGATAGAAAAGCTCCTTGACAAGGGGGTGAAGACGCATTAGGAGGAGGTTAGTCGACTGCTGCACGAGGCAATTGGACCGACTCACACACCCGACAAAAACGCATTCGCGCAGGAGGCTACGCGCGTCCACCGATGCTCTGGCCTCTATGGCCTCGCGCATCGTCAGGACCGACTCCAATAGAACAGGTCGCCGTTTGTTACCGGCCAATTTACCTGTAGCAAAGAAACACCTCACAAACTAACCTAACAACGCTCTAAAACCGCTTTAACTGTTCTACGCGTACCTGTTTTAGACATGTTAAGCCGTGAAATCACATCAGGCGACTTGACTGAGTCACTTGTCTGCAAGTAATTGTCTTCGGAGGTGGTGTTTTGAGAGGACGTAGACTCGGCACGTGGAGTGGAAGCATGAAACTTGTCGCGTGTGCGATGAGGCGAATCAGCTGAAACAGAGTTATCATCTCCACTGTCTGATTCAACATCAGGACTTGGTGGTCTTGGCTTTTCAGCCAACGGCTGTGGGCGGTTCAAAAACGCCTCAAGACGTTGTGCACGAACGTCAGTACGCACTAGTCGCTCAGGCCGGCAAATTGGGCTGGCTGAGGACACGCAACCCCCCGGCCTTTGTGAAAAAGGCTCGAGTCGAGATTGTTTGGGCAGGGAAGATGGGGGTGTTGACGACGGCTCCCGAGTACACCCAACGTCTTTGAGACTGAGTGAGTGAATTGAGAGGCTTCGTGAACCAGAGGATCTTAATAAGAAGTGTTCGATGGCATCACGAACACACGTGATGACTTCGTCCTGTGGTGGGAAGAATGAAACAAGTATCATAGTTAAAGGCCTCAAGGCTGCCTACAAAAAGCCTGCTGTCAAGACGAAGTCAACTGCTTAATGCTGTCAGAGCTATTCAGTTCATTTCTTTCGAATAAAACTAGAAGCCTTCGCAATACATCACCAGAAAATACCTTTTTTACCTAAAGAGACGCAACATAGGTGTGTTTTGGTGACAGGCAAAAAACGCGTTGTATTTTCAATATGTGAAAATAGGAAACAAATTGTTGCAGCATTTGAGCGACGTCGTTCAGGCATTTTTACGTAACCAGCACCAAAGTGGAATAAGGTGAAAAGGAGAAACACTTGATAGCCACTGCGTAAGGTCGAATGGCAACTCCCGGTGATGCGCGTATTTCCACGAAACCCTACCTTGTCATCACAAGGGGTTCAAGTGAGAAGAAAACTCGTCCAGAGGTATTTAGAGATTAGTTTCTGGCATCGTTGGGAACTTTTTTGAACACGTACAAACTTGGAGCGGTCAATTGGCACAAAAGGGTGATTGACGACCAACCGGAAAACATGCAAAACGCTACCTCGTGGAGAAAGTGGACCTGGGCTTTGGTGGGGTGGACATTGACATCCAACGAAGTCGTGGGCAGCTCGAGACTCAGGTAGACGAACAACGACGCCGCGGAGGAGGCGGCCGAGGCGCGGGCCTGGCCGATGCAAAGTTGCGCGGCTCGGTGTGGCAGCAGTGCTGCGTAGGCCGCCTCAACGGCGCGCTTTATGGAGGCGCATTCAACGAGGCGGTTGTTTACAAAGAGGACCAGTTGAATGGAAGGTGATCCCTCTAGCGGCACAACAGGGTCAGCATGAGTGCAATTGATAGATTGCTTGACTTCAGCTATAATCTATCTTTAAATAAGCGGTACCTGAGGTGACTTGGCTGGGATTGGATAGGAGGCCTTCAAATTTAAGTCCCAATCTATCTACGGCTAGACGCACTGAACTGACATCGAAGTGCTGATCGTGCGAAATCGGAAGGAGGTCTGCTGCCGCCCTTTGACCAAAAGCTGCCCTAACTACATCAACCTTTGTCCAGTCCTTGGTTGTGCGCAAATCTACAACAGCAGAAAAAAGTGCCGTGACCGATAGGAGAGGACCGAAACGCATGGATATGGCATCATGTACCGCCGCCGATTGGCGTAGGACTCGCTCCAACACCGGTTCGTCGGTCAAGTGAACGAAGGAAGAAGCCGCATTTCCCAGCGTAGTGGAGGCTGTATCTAAATGCAAACGTGAATGAAAGCATACGCAGGGTTCACGTGATGCGTGCAAGTGAATCGCATCCTTGTGATTTAGTGGTTACTAGTGTATTGTGGTTTGGGTGCTCGAAAAAAGGCCAGAGCCCACGGATAAGATACAGAAAAGCAAAAACACTCGCTCACGCTGAATCAGATACCTTTGCAACACGTTAAACATACAGTTACTAGAACAAGCGCTGACGGGTACAATGGACATACTAAGTGTTAGGCTTTCAATTAAGTAAAAACTACAAGAAATTATAAATGCTTAAACTATGAATGATGGCAGCTTAGGAAAGGAAAACAAAGTTCGAAGCAACCAGTAGAATAAGAAACAGGCATATGAAGTTGGCTTTGACTTCAAATTTCACCAATTTACCGGAAATACCTCCACAGGAGAGAATCAAGACAATTAAAATGCACAAGGTGCCTGCCTGCTTAGACACACATTATATTAAATGGACATGTGAACAATAGGAAAATGACTTGATTGAATTGCGTGAGGAAGCCGAGTTGTTGAGATTTTCGATAAAAAAAAATCGTCGCAAAATTACAAGATATTACATTAACTGTCATCCAATGTTTAACACGCTTCTCCGTGGTTGCTCTCCAACGGAACTCGTGCGGGAAAATTTGACTTCTGTCGTGTAACCAATTCTTCTACCATTCAAACCATGTTGCATGGAACGAAAATGATGGAAATCCGGAGGAAAACGACCAGGGGAATATGGTGAGTGCTGCTGGAGAATTTCCCACTTTTGGCAGTGTACTTTGAGAGACAAGGGATCTTGCCTTGCCATATTGAAAAATGGTTTTACGATTGACCAAATTTGCGCGTTTTCCTTGGGTTTAAGCATAGTGTGAGGTGACTGGCTTCCAGCACCCCGTAGTCATGAGCCACGTGGAAATGTTTCGTACAAACTTATGCCTCGGCAACCCCATCAGACACAGCAGAGCGTTTACTGGATGCCACTCAGTCGTCGCTTCCATGCTTCCAGTTTCCATTTCTTAATTAGTTGTTATTCATTTTTCACCTCCAGTTATGGCTTCATCCAAAAAGGTGGTTTTTTGACGGGTTGAAAAAATGGCCGTGGAAGCACGGTTCAATTTGTTCTGTTCACGCAAAGCGTGCCGAACACATTCATCGAAGTTCGGAGTTTATCCAGATTGCTTTCAATGACGAAACGCAGTCGCATTGTCAGCGATATCTTCAATGGTAAACCCAAATTATTTACAACTTCTGTGATAGTCATCGTCAATGCCGGGAGGTCGCCCAGTGCGAAGTTCACCGTTTCGGTTGAAGTCACAATTTTGAAATAAAGTATCAAGCAGGAGCATGGTACAAATAAACGTCCGGGATGCTTCTTTGTTGCAGTTCAAACACTCATATTACATAACAGTAGCGAAAATGCTACATTCCGTTTTTAACTTTTGAATATTAACTCCGAGTCAAAAGTACGTGCTTCTGCTATCTGTGGAAAGCGGTCACGACTTTTCGCAAGTACCCAATAATTTTTCTACATAAAATTGGGTCAATGTGTAGCGAGGCTCGGCAAGTTGCCACAAGATACGCGCAAAGACAATAGGTGAGACCCCACTAAAAGCGTGTAAAGGGTATCATGGAAAATCAAGCGCAATATTAACAGCTACTCACAAACGAACACAGTAGGATAGATTAGAAATGCCTCTTCATGACCAAGTTCGAGGAAAATAAGTCACCTTGCAACAATCTCAGCAATACGCACAAACTCCTCCCGCGGCGACTTGAGGGCATCTCTGCGGATGGGGACGTTGCGGAAGAGGTCCTCGGCGTGAATACTCGTTCCCGGATTGCCGGCGCAGACTCGAGGCGCTGCCGTCAGTTTTCCCTCGCTGTATTCCGCCCTGTAGGCGCAGGACCGGCCAGCAGGTCGGGTGGTCACACTGAGACGCGCGACGTAGCTCAGGCTGGCCAGTGCTTCACCCCTGAAACCAAACGTCACCAGATGCGAGAGATCCTCGAATTCCTGTCGGGGGAAAAAGTAGCGCTCACCAGCAAACCTTCCACAAGGCAGGCTTAAGAGAAACCTAGGGAGAGCACCTTAAGTTTGCTCGTGGTAAACCTCTCACAGAGAATAGGTAGGTCGGTAGGCTGGATACCGTGGCCGTTGTCCTGCACTTGAATCATCTTGAGACCACCTTCCCGGAGGTTCACCTGAAGCAGAGAGAAAGAAAAGCTATCTCAAGATGGTTTGTAAGGAGGCTAACTAAACAGACAAACACGAAGAGGAAACAAGAATTTCCCACCTGAATCATTGTGCTGCGGGCGTCAAGGCTGTTCTCAATTAATTCCTTGACTGCATTGCATGGACGCTGGATGACCTCACCTGCGGCAATTCTGTTCACCACGTCGGCAGGCAAAACCTGAATGCGCGGGGGCTCCGTCACCGATGCCGGTGGTTCACTCATCTGTGAGGAAAAGATGACAAAGTCTCTCGAATGGACAGCACAACGTCACTGGCCCCGTAAATTCGTTGAGCCTGATTAACCCTTTCTTAAGATTACTTCGACTTTGTTTAACAGTTGATGAGATGTACTAGTGGTTTTGATACCACGAATCAACACAGATTTGACATGAGAATGTGGTTCCGAGATCCAATTCAGATTGTAACCACGGGATTGATGATGATACTAGAACACATTCCCAAGCTCAAAACCCATGCCCTCGTTGGACTTCAAAACGCAAGGAACAGAACGGGCGAGGAACAATGGACGAGAATCTACCTCAATGAACAAGCCACTACATGAGGCACAGGCGGTACGAAGTAGTCAGTTGCCTCGTGCTCATATTTCTGTTTTAAGGTGACCGCACGTTTCCAAACAGAAACCAGCCGCCGTTGTGGGCGCCTCTAACTTCTGGTTTCGTTAATCGTGAGTGCACGTTTGTTTCTTTTTGACTACATAGTTTTTCTAGTTTGATTCGTATCAGGCTGACAACCTTACATAGACACCTGTGAAATATTGTAAATGTCGAATCGTTGCAAACAAACTGACATTGCCTACATCATAGTATAATGTCTTTCACGGGAAAATTTCGATTCCCATGTGTGCATGAGCCTTCCTCTTCCGATAACTTCGTTACTGCTTCTTCGCTCTGAAGTCAGAACACTCAACCGGACTTAGGAACCGCAGAAACGGGTGAAAAGGAGATACCTGTGGAACTACTGAATAGGCTTCGTTTGCTTGCAACTACAGAAGGGTTCCCATGGAAAGGCGACACATATGACCATATTCTGTATTTCAATTGCAATCCGTGAAGTGGACACGGTTCTCAGGAAAGAAGCCACCGCTCCCAAGTAAAGGAGGGTAACAAGAACCGTATTTGAGGGATTAAACTTTCACCAGATAAAACTATCAACAACTAGTACATTGAGTAGCTCAGGTTGTGGGAGTAATTCAAACTGAAAGTGAGCTTTAGCTGTGTCAACACAGCAAAGGGTGGAAGCAAATACCAACGGAGTAACTGTCGAACTGAACAACTGGTGAATATGGACGGCCGCCAAACTGAAAGAGCAAATCAACCAACAAGTTTAAAAAAGAGCATGAAACAACCCACAATCGAAAATGGGTCCCCATAAATACTGGCCGAAGCTCTACATACGACTTTCAGAAGGCAAGTTTTTTTTCTCCTGAGGACAAATGCCTCTGAATATTTTACCCAGCCACGACCAGCGTAGAGGTATTATTACCGAAATAATTGCAAGCAACATAAACGCCAAGGAGGCAGGATGAATGAGAACAAAACAAGTGATTTATTAGATATACTTGGACCAAGCTGGGGAATTTTTATACATTTACATATGTACACTAAGTGTGAGGCGGTGGGGAGGACACCGAGAAAGACTCGTCACTTAAAAACATGGGAGCCAGGCAAAACCGTGCGAGGCAGCGAGTGCGACGAAGGGTCGGCGTGAGGTTGGCAGCACCCATTTGCCAGCCCATCGCCTTGGTCAGACGAATCGGCTGAAGCCAGTAGGGTGCCAGAAGGTCACGTTCAATCCTGCGAGGTGTGCCCACGTCGTCCGGCCCCCACATCGGATGATCTTCAAGGAGGAGCAGTGAGAGGTCCTCTGTGGATGGAGAGTGTGGCATGGGTGTGTCGGTTGACTTCACTATCCTCCACGCTTCCGGCACAAAGCATGTTCGATAGGTGCTCTGGACAAAATTATTGAAAAGGACGCAAGTAGAAAAGAACACAATTTTGTGTGGAGTCCAGATGATTATAGTTTCAGTTTGGCTTTACGGCTGTAGACGGAATATAGCGTACAGTACTTAAAACCAGCCACGCCACTAAAACAATCGCTAATGTAGTGTTAAATTGATTCCTATGTGTGAAATAAGACCCCCATTTACCCTATCTTTAGACATTTTGGGAACTATGTAACTGCATTTTAGTGAGAATGATTACAAATATCCTTTCAACGTTCATCGTGTAACCTTTAACCAGAGATGGTCTGAGATATATACTCTGTTTTATCAAAACTAGCACAACCGAACCACAGACGTGGAGGCTTTAATATGAGAAAAGCTACGCTCAGTAATCAAAATATAGACATATAAGCTGATAAGCGAAATAGATTTGCCTTACGGTACAGAATTTATGATGAAATATTGGCCAAATAGGTTAATCGATAGGGTATAACAATAACTTACCCGAAATAGTCGTGGTACCGAAGAGGTGTCCCCATCAGACCGTTGTTGGGGCATCAATGACATCCACGACGACGATGTAGAGGAAGCTGACGACGAACTTGTGTTTGTGAGAGTTTCTCTGCTCACCTGATTTGGAGGATCTTCAAGAGCAGACGAGAGGAGACGAAATGATACGGATTCATCCACAGACTGAGCCCTAGTCAGCTGCAGTTCCAACCACCGAGTCTCCTCACTTGTCAACGCATCCGCTAGAGTGACACCTCCGAGCACGTAGAATTTATCACGGTGAATAAGAACCGAACATGTGTAGCGGGGCAAAGTAAGGTGGGTAACGAAACTCCATTGTTCCTTACAAAGGGAGAAGGAGAATATCTCGTTTGACGGCGACCCATCTGAGAGGAGACCACCTACCAGGTAGATGCAATCACCGGGCTCGTAACAGACACCTGCGGCATCACTTAGAGCGCGGGGGATCGGAGGCAATCTACCCCAAAGAGCCCGAGCCGGATCAAAAAAGCGGAAGAAGTCAGTGGGCCGAAGGCCGTCCTCAATCTCTAGCTCTTCAAGACCGCCCAAGATGAAAATTGTGTCTAGTTAGGAAGCGAAAATATGTGCAAAATACGCTTCAGGATATTGACGGTGATTAAAAAGGAAATTTAACAGTTGATTGTAGCTGCGCTAACCATAGCGGCCATTAAAAGACTGGTTCGCATTCATTAGTAGAAAGTGGCTAGGGCTAGCCAACAGCAACACTCACAGTCAATAAAGTAGGCGAATAGTAGTAAAAAAATAAACACACTTGTGTCTAATGGAGCATGACGTTTAAAACATCAGGAACATACCACGCCAAGACGCGGCAATTGCAGTCATATCGGAAAGCTTTTTCGGCAGTTGTGAAGACAGCCGAGTCCACGCATCATTCAGGTGACTATAGGCAAAAACACTGTCACTTAATATCGTATCCAAAGTGGTGGGATCGAGATGCGAACCTCCAAAGAGGTAGACAATGCCGTCAAGACACACCAAAGCATGATGAGATCTGGGTACGTCTAATGACGCCATCGAGTGCCAGACGTTTTCCACCAAGCTGAATCTTTCACAACTAAACATATAAATGAAATCTTTGGTTAGAAGTAATCGCAGACCAGAGATCTAATGGAACTATAACTAACAGTGCAGTTATGGTTTGATCTTCATATTCTCCACCAGTGACATAAATCCACGTGTTTGAAGCTGCTACGCCATGGTAAACTCGTGGTTGTCCGACCATCGGAGGACGGGGAACCATTTTCTTCAAATTTGGGGTGAAAGCGAAGAAGTCAGTATTTCGGCGAAAACTGCGATTTAGTCGATTACCGCCCATGAGATACACATCCTCCACACCTCCAACTGAATACACTCGAAAATCAGTTCCAACGCGGGCAGACTCCGAATCGGGGTTTATCAGTAACCGCAGACGACTTTTGAAAATGCTGTCATCGATTGAGATTGAGTTCCAGTCAAAATCTTTCAAATGTTCTGGTGGATGATTTTCTTCGGAGAACAGTGGGTGGCCAAAATTTAACAGGAACCAATGTGCAAGGAGACGAATTGTACGCCGAGCAGTTTGAAGAGACGGGTCACCGATTACTTGTCGTAAGCTTTCGGCACTTACCTATGGGAGAAAAATACGTTTGCATTGGGTCACAAATAGGTTTGGAACATATTACAGGTTGCAGAATAGACTACGCACCATTGATAAACGGAGCAAAACGGTAAAATTTTCTTGAAAGAAATCAAATCGACTGACTTCGTCGTGGGAAACCCACGAAACAAGGGCTTTAACCATAAATGACTCGTTTGTGACGTTTATTTCATCCGAAAGAAATAACTGTTCTACCTGAGATGAGGAAAGACTTAAAAAATCAGGGGACATAATGTCCACGGAATTAAAACCATCTTGGAGAATAGTTATTGATCGTCTAGAAATTTCCTGGTCGCTGAACAGGGAGGAAAATTGCAAAAACCCTAGGCAATTATTTAGACGGCATAAACTTACACAACACATTTTCAATTGAAAGACTGGATAGAACCATCTCTTTTACTTTTTGTTGAAGAGAAAGCACTTGCAAGAAACTTGACGCTACGTAAACATCCCCATAGTCTTCGAGAGGGATTTCATAGTGATGCAAACCAAGGCAATGAATGTAGTTAACGACATGTTGCACACCACTTGGAGTCAAACATTCAGCTTCTAATGTAAACTCTGAGCGTTCGATTGCACGCTCGTCAAATTTAATAAGTGCACGGAAGTAATCACTAGATGCAGCAAGTAAAAGCCGGTTGGATCGAATTGGTGTTGTTGAAACGATTAAAGATACATCCAAGAAAAAGTCAGACGAGAATAACTCCACCAAGTTCCTCGAAACCGTTTCGACGTGCACCAAATGACGCTCCATACGCGTCACTGGACGTCGAATAACGCCCGAAGACCTTATTGGTTCAAGGACGTAGACGGGGAGGTTAAAAGTGTGGGCACGAAAAATGACCAAATAAGAACAGTGTTAAGAAGGTAGACACGTTGCTAATGTTGAAGATCTAAAAAATAACTGACTTCTTCGTCTTCACCATAAAAGCTGTGTCGATAATAACAAAATTTTGCAAAAAACCTGCGTAACTAGAAAGTGGAGACATTTGGAATGATAACATGAGATAATCTGGGAACAATTATTATAAAAAGTCTATTGTTATAAAAATTTCTGTTAAGTTTTAATATGATTGCGGGATAGAATTGATAACGCCCTTTACTAAATTATCCATTTTAATGTCTATACTGCACCAAATATTGATTTACGAGGATGTTGCACAGTTCCGAAAATCCCTTCAAAAGTAGGTCTAAGACAGAGATAATTTAGGATCTTCCTCTGATGATTGACTCATTGCGAGCTTAAATAGCTATCAAACATATTTGGACACACCGATCACATTACGCGTTCAAATGAAAAGGTAAAACTCTGCTGTACCGTTGCCACCTCTGTAAATAAAAATCAAAATAACCCTTGCAAGTGGCAAGAAAAGCTGATAAGACCAGGAAGTTTAGTTATAGATGCTTTTACGGTTGTAGAATGATGCTGCTTTGTTGATAAAATTAAACACTTGCAGATCCAATTAATGTGGGTATTAATTCAGGTGTTATTTCAAAGTTAAAATAAATTGAACTTCTAAATGCATTATACCCACAATCAGGTCACTAAAATCAAGGTTGACATTTTCAGTAAGCAACTTGCACAAAGGTCTATAATATGTATTGTTATATGTCTATCCCTAAAATTAAAAAAAGGTCCTACATGATAATGCTTCACTAATATGCAACTCGGTAAAAACGTCCAACAGCCCCTGTCTCTATGATTTTATCTGACAGGACACTCCTGCAATTTTAATGGTTCTGCCTATCTATGCTTGTCTCTGGGTGGCCACTGTTTTACCTCAATGGCCATAAAACACACCTGGACAGAGGATTATCAGGGCTCGTATCAGGATACAATATATATGCAATCAGTATCCACACCTTCACTAATGATTGATAAGGCCTCTGTACTTTAATATTAATTTGTGCTGACTGAAATATGAAAGAATTAATTAACAAATAACAAACGTAGAAAATGTTTAGTAACTAGGACATTATTGCGTTGTTATATTTTGTCACTATTTTTCAAGTGGCTGTTAGTCCCTGAGAGCACTAAGTACGGTTAAAACCATCCTAACGAAAAAACACCCCAGCTAAAAGATGTATAATACTTAAAATTTCTAATTCCCTCGCCAGCAATTAGGCTTGATCAGATGGTAAAGAATTACTCAGAGAAATCAATTACATAAAGTCCTTTAAACAGCACCCTTATGCTTGGAAGAATAATGATCCAGCAAAAATTTTATAAATAAGGTTTTTAAAGGCAAATGTTTAATGTATGGTCTGTGCATAAAAGAATTTTCAGGCTACAATATCATGGTAAAATGCAACAATGGGTTAAATTTTTACCAATTCGCACATAATCGATAATTCTAGTAAAGTTATTGAAATCGGCATAACTAACTTAGTGATATCTTGGTCACTGTGTGCTTCAGAAATTCGGTTATTAGGTAAAAGAACAGTCTTCTAATCTTATAACCATTTTTCACAGATTTAATTGCATAAATTCGATCCGCAATTTCTGTTGTAAAGAAAAGCCCACCACTATAGTTTTGCTCGAATCATTTCTGTAATACTAAGCAAATGTAAGTGTTATAAGACAAGTAATAGGGAATGTTTATAAAAAAGTTAATTGTTATCATTCTTTAGTCATTTAAACTCCTATTTATTTCAAGGTTAAAAAAAATTTAATTTACGCGGAATATGCTGATAAATGTAGAGCTTCTAGATGAGACCTTTTTGCAAATAGAATTCCGAGTAAATTGCGAAGTTAGTACATATTCTTAGGATTTTAATATCAAGACATTTATGAACGCTATTCTAATTTTTTTACGAATGCCTGAATTCCCGGGAATCGGTGTAAATTATGTTGATAACGAGTAAGCTAACAATCAAATGATAATGTAAGGGGCCATTTTATGTGGCTTCCTTGTGAGGGAACCTTATATGACATTGATTTTTACAAAGAACGTCCTGCAATATTGCTTTTTTTGAGGATAAGGTATTTGAGTTCTTCCATTATATATGCAAATGTGACCATTCAGATTTTTCGCGTCAGATATTCTAAGAATATCTCCTCTGGAATCAGTATTTCAACACTTTTTATACGGTGTTACGAACTTAGAAAAGGTACTTTTTATTTGAAACATTATGCTGATTAAGCTTGAGTTACCAAAATGTATTTTGCAGCAGCTTCTTCGAATTAAGTCATTTATTCTCACTGGAGACAGAAGGTTGCTAAAATACTAAGCATCTTATTTGTTTAGTTACATATTATCTTCTAGTGGACATGACGAAGAAACAAGCTTTCCTATTCTACGAGGATTTTCGGATTCAAGCCTAACATGTAGGGGTGAAGCATTACTAAGGTAAACATGAGGTACACAACTCCAAACTAAAAAGATTCCTTGAGTTCTTATATCGGTTGCCGTGTTTTAATGGTCATTTCTATGAATTTGAGAATGAAGAGGAAGCAAAAATTTTTTTAATAGTCATTCTGCCTACTGGTTTGCGAAGATACGAAGTATTGAAACAATCTCATGACATTAGAGAAGATTATTTGATTCCCTGGAAGAATATGCGGGCGATATTTGTTGAGGATAATTACCTCTCAGTAGAACACATTCAAAAACAAAGGTAAGTTTGTTTGAAAAACAACTGGTATCTTCTGTTGACTTTTTATTCCAAACTATTCTTTTAGTTCCGAGAGCAAATCGAAGTTAGTAACAACAAGCTGGCTTTGTCCTTCACATTGGCATGCAACAAATTTATGTGCGGAAGTTATTCATCAACGTTTGTGGCACTTATCAGAAGTAATAAGAAATGATGGTTCTTATAACGTTGAGGTAGGCTATTTATGCCTTTATATTTGTTTAATTTGGCAAATTTTAACCAATGAAGCAACGTAATAAACATTGGCAGACTATTTTAGTTACCTAATATACACAGATATTTAGTTTCATATGTACTGTTTTTTCTACAATATTCTTCAGACTTTGCGATTTTCTGCCTTGAGTCTTCAACGTTTTCGCTGAATCATCTATTGAGATTTTAAATCGGTGATTTTAAATTTGATTGGTTAGAACCACTCAAAGGTTCTTATTTGCTCTAAATTGATATCTGGACAACCGGTGGATCCATCAAACACACTTCAACAAAATCACTGTAACGTTTAACAGATATTTTTTAAAGAGGTGGTATAGAAGTGTCATGATAATTCATAATGTTCTTTCTGTCTGGCTTGCCATGGCTTCCCTGTCATGTCGATTTCTAGAATCAACTTAGTCAGTAAAATTCAGTAGAGGGAGGCCCAGTTTGTGTGTTTTGTCGTGAGAAGTTGTAACACACGACAACTTCCTAGCACCGCTTGAATAAAATCTCACCTGTTATTTATTAAACCAACCTCTTTTACCTAACTTCACTAACCACACCTCATTTTACGTTCTAAGAGCTGCGTCCATGGAGGTAAGGTTCAGTTTCAATGATTTAAAAGTCTTATTCTCAAGTGGCAGTGCAGTTTTCCCTCAGACATGCAGGTAGAAATTGTACCAACGAGCATTTCTGGAAAACTCTTTATTCACAATTGGCTAACATACACTATTGGAGAGAATATTTTGTTCCAGGGATCTAGGGGCCAAGAAAATATGTGCGCCATGAAGCATGGCACAACACCGAATGCCCCTACTCACCAAGGATACTTCTCTGAATTCCGAAGTGCTAAGCATTCCCTCACTTGGTTCTTTCAAAATGGTTTAACTTTAGTTCCCGTAGCAATGCTGATTTAGTCATTTTCATAACATCAGATGTAAAAATCAATAAAGATTCAGTAAAATTAAGGTAATTTAAATTTTCAGCAACAAGGTCGCGAAATCCCTATGAAACATTCAAATATTGGCTTTGCTAATTAATGATTTGAAAAATTAGGGCATTTTGTGCACTTGAAAATCAGATCATTGTTTTCCGTCCAGAATGCTTAACGACACAAGTAGTGTCAATGTTCTAATTGAAATCGCATCAATCCTCGTGTTATAATTAAATTCTCAGGGAGCTTTGTGTCTTTCATCTGCCAGGAAAGTCCCATGGAAGCACGGGTTTGTAGAGCTTTTGAGTTGTCTCGGTGGCTGGAAAGGCACTACCCAACAAAGTCGAATCGGTGGACACCATCGCGAATTGGCATCGCTGACCGCAGGGATGGTAACGGTGGTGGCGTCGCCGACGAAAAGACACCTCGAACAAGACGCCGCGATGCGAGGCGCGCAGCTCTTCGAAGTCAGAAATGTGGGCGCCATCCAACTGGGGCGACCGCCGCCGAGCTCAACCACAGCCCCGAGTCGTGGTCCGCCCATCAAATCGCGAGACACTTCCAGCACATTACCGGTGAAGAGGCAAAAAGTTAGTTTGGTTAGGTTTGAGGTTTGCAACGTACTCACTGTCCAGTACTGTTTCGATGAATCCCAGAATGCATTCACAAAGGCCTCAACAAATGGCCAGTGGCTAAGTGAACCAGCAAATTGACAGAATGCTTGATTTTATCCACTATCATTGACGTTTTGGTCTGTTTTCACGTGTTGCGAAGGTCACAAAAACATTTAAAAGACTTCCCCACCAACCAGACGCTGTTTGCATTTCAAAAAGACTTCGAATCGGAAGAAGTCCCATTTTAGAGGCATATACCTACAGGTTTTTTCCACTTCGTGTACCTGAAACACTTTTAATTAAGCCTGTTCACTCTTATGACACCTGCCAGAAGGAGTGAGCTCGAATTAAGGGATCTGCTAATGCAACCATGCCCTTTGTTGTTGTTTATATTTTTTTTAAAAAACTGTAAAATGTACTTGAATAGTTAATTTACGGAATTTGTAATGTGGATAAATCAGTGATTTACCACATGATAGATTGCAGTATACTAGGCTTTACCTTTATTTAAATTAATTATTTTCTTTGTTCACATTTCCTCAGATTGTGCATGAAAACCCCTCATTGTGTGATTAGCACACCTAAATTTGATTGGCCTCAATTGTTGCCTGTTCGTATTAGCAATAATTCTGGCTAATTGTAGGTTAGTTTCCTCATCGCAGGAGTTTTTTTTCCGATTCGCCCACTGCCTACCTAGTTTGAGAAACCTTGACATTTAGCGCACGCTTTGGCCGTCAGTGTTTTGAATTGTTCGTGGTGAACGGGCTAGGATGTAATTAACGCACTTGCATCTCATTTCACTCGGTTTCACTCAAGTAACAGCTATTTGTAATAAAAATTAATTAGTTTTTTTAGCAAAGACTGATAACTATTTACAACTTATTAATGACTTACGACTTCGTCGGGAAACCTAAAGCATGAGCAACACATTTGGTGAGGGTTTAACAAGAATGGCGACTGAAATATTTGTACGAGTGATAAATAATGAAGACAAACCATGAAAACGCTATAGTCTGGATGTACGAGCCTTCAACGGTTTCTTGAATATTCGCGGTATTTACACACCCGCCAATGAAGCCAAGAGACAGCTTAATGTGCTTGCGCGAATCAAAACATGCTTCGTCTCATCAACGTGAGAAACTTGGAATTCAACGTGGCAACTTAAAAATCCTAAATATGCGTTTAAATAACACCTTAAAAACCAATTCTTACTCAAGGGTGGCCTAGTTTGCATACTAAATACCACTATTCTTCGAACTCTACCATTTACTTTTAAGGCAAGTAAATTCCAGCAGGAAAAAAGTTGCAGGTGCTTCGAGATGGTGAGTCAGTTTATGCCAAATGAAAATCAGGAAGTCAGAACAGACACAAAGTATTGTAAGCACATCGGAATTGATTTCTGCCACAAGCACACACTGCGGAAGAGAAAAAATAACTCGCCGTACAGCGGTGGCATTGAACTCGATTGGGAAGAAATCGATATCGACCGCACATAACTCCACGACTTGCTTACCCAATAGGTTGACTTCAAGGCCATGGATGCTCTTGTTTGCTTGGCTGCGTAGTTTCACACTCTCATCAAATATACAAATTGCAAAAATGACTGTAATTAGTTTAAGCGAAAACTGGATCTCTCAAACACAAGTTAATGAGTTATGGCGTTACTAAAGGTAAAAATGGTGATTGATTAGGCGTTGGTTCGGTATATTCATATTTTCTCCAAAATTAGGCTTGAACTAATTTCTAAATGGTCATTAAAGCTATGGAGGAATTAACAGTTTAACGAGTCATTTAGTCAAACCAGGCTTCGGTGAAAAACGCCTTGAGGTACAAAAAGAGCCAAGTTAGGAAAAGAGACCCATTTCAACCAGCTTGAAGCACTCAGAATGGTCAGGTCAGAATGTTCTGATACACTTTAAGATGATACGTTTCCATGTTGTGATCGAAATTTCTACCTTAGAGGCAAAATATTGTCATCGGATTAGGTAGAAGAATGACACACGGTTTTGGAGATACACATGCGGGTGTGTCACGAAAATCAGTGTTCACCTGAAGACATAGTAACACCAAGCTTATAAGTCACGTTATTGATTTAAGGAACGCAATCAGAATGTTTTCCAACTTAATACTTAACCTGAATACCACTTTTTGTATAAGTTCAAAGTCAATGTTAAAAGAAATTCATAATTAAGGCGCTCAAAAAGCAGCTTGGTAAATTAGCGAAAATTTTACTGTGAAATACTGATTAGAATTGTCAGTTTTTATGGCAGGCAACTGGTCAATCTTGTAAGGTTTGTTTTAAAAGCCTTGTCATGCTATTCGCAAGGTTTGACTTCCTGATCGAAAAATGGTCCCTTTTCACCTAATTTGTTATGGCTTTCTTTGGACTAGACCAGGGGGAGTTCACTGGGGGCTGAACCACATTAAAAATGATTTACTGAATGGCAGTAACGCTCCTGTGACTGGTGGGAAATCTGGCCTGGCAGCTATGATTCAGGCGGTGAGTTAGCATTTTGGCATTTAGGAGTGGTGCACTTATCTGTGCGCATGGTGGTTGCACCGTCTGCTTTCTGAAGGACAGACCCCCTGACAATGACCGGTCATGGCACCGCCTTGTCCGCTGTTCGTAGTCGTCCCTGCCCTACGCCTTGACTTCCACCACCACCACCACCACCACCACCATGCCAAACTTTAAGTGGATAAGGGAAAACCTCCGGGATACACTCTCATAGCCTGCGATTCGCCAGGCTTGTTTAGCACCCTAGGATCTTAACGAAACTGGTGACTAATCCTAGGGCCGCTCGCTTCTGCAGTAAAATCATCAGTAGAAGATATTTTCCTCGCTTGGACCAATCAGTTTACTTGTGGGGAAACATATAACTTCCAGTGCAGTGCGGAATGTCACATTAAATTTACATACTCGTGTAGCATCGATATGAAAGGAAAAAAAATGCATTCATGCATGTGTATATTTAGTTGGGTCCCGCATGTTTTTTCCACTGGCCGCTTTTTGTGGGTAAGCGCGATTTTTAAGGTGAACTGTGACGAGGTGTGCAGCGGCCAGCCCTTGAACAGACGCCCATCGAACACACACACGCACTGGCTGCTGAATCAGCAAACTCTTGCATTTTTAAACAAGCATTTGGTTTGTGCAGGTAGAATCCACACGAGGCAAATGACCCGAACCTGGCGCAGACATTAAATCGCTCGGCAGCTACTTGTGCGATGGGTGACGCAACTTCCGGCGCACTGAATGTCTCTGCCGCCCAAAAATGTCGACTGATATATTCCACAGACATGTCTGTGTTGACCACTGATAGTTAGTCCACCCATAAAGCTAGACTTCGCCAGGCTCCTTGACCCATCAGGTGTCGAAGCCTGACTGTCATCGGTGCGGTAGGATAATGCGCTTCATTTGAACCGGGCAGCTACTTAGGGTGGGCATATCTAATATTAGTCTCTAATTTCTAACTGGACGTCCCAGGCTCAGACGTAGCGATATGCCATTTTCCACGGTTTCAATTGTCAACACTTAGCTATCGCTAATCACTAGTTTTTACGGTAGTATAGAACACACATCAACGGTCACTGACGCCTGGGCTTTTCATGGCATCTAAAAATGCGAGTTTAGTTTCAGTTGGGTTTTGGGATTAATGGAAGCGGCATTGGTGAACAAGGTCAAAAAGTAAAAGCCGGTCCTAAATCAATGGAACTGTTGTCTCTTTGTGGTCCTGAGGCAACAATTCAAATCCCAGAGGGTGGTGAAATGGCGAGACGAGGAGGTGGACAAGTGAGTTTACTCAACCGTGTGTGGCATTGTAGTGTGCACATTCGGGGAAAACTGGGAACCAGGGCCGGTCAGGGGGTCATCTCTACTAATCCCTCCCCTAGAAAAAGCATGTTTAGACAAGCTTCAACTGACAAATCTTCACTGACAAGCCACCACAGCGCAATGTAGTGCTCACAGTCGGAAACTGCCCGATTAAAGTGATAGCTTAAGCTCATGATTCACAAGTAAGCGTCTTTGCGTTTGTTTAGGAATTTCCAGCCTGATTGAATCTTGGCAGCTGGGGGATAGACAGCGTCTGCTGGATACTTCTCTGTCCCTGAGCAAGCTGAATGCGCTCGGTGGCGCTGTGGGGAACCAGCGGGCCCCCCCACCGCGACCGCCCGAGACCTACCGGCAGCAGCTGCAGCCACAGAACAAATCGAATTCTACTCAAAGCGACCAACCAAAGCGGGACTTCAGGGAGGCCTCAAAAACGCCCAAGTTAGATTCCTCGAAGTTTACTGCGTTTTGGAGACGCCAGGAGGTGAGGAAACACGAAGGCGGCGCGAGGCGAAGAGGCAGTCGGGAGGACGAGAAACACGAACTGATCGAAACCGCGGCCGAGCTGAAGTGGCTCATTGCAGAAAATAGCCGTCTCTTGGCAGACCTCTGCAACGAAGAGAAGGTATGGTCTATTTTTTATGGCGAGAGGACCCACTCGAAACGTTGACGCGTTTACCTACTTGAGAATGCAATTTTTCCTTGAATCGAGGCGAAAACGTCAAACTATTGACCGGAATTACCATCACTCAGGCGCTAGAAATTGAAAGGAAATCTGGCCCATCATTTGCTTCAAGGTAGCTGCTAAAAAGAATATGGCAAAAGTGCAAAATGCAATGCCATATTGTCTACTGTGTTGGATGTTGCGGAAATCTCTAAACTGTATCCACTTTTTGCTGACTGCTTTAGATTTTTGTCACTAACCTAAGTAGTAATGACTGTCCCGTTGGCAGGTTGTCTTCACAAATAAGTGTTTTCTCGACGATGGTTCTCTTTAAATAAAAATGTCATAAGCTCGCACAATCCTTACACGAACCTGATATAAAGGTGTACTTCGTGGTAAACATCACAGGTAGATAGCGCCTGTCACCCTTTGCAAAAGTTGACCATTTTTGTGACAAAAAGAATTTGTTATCGAATCCATATTTAGAACTTGAAGTGGCAAGCAATGAAGCAGAGATTTGCTCGCGTTATCCAATGGTATTTGCATTTCATGCTGCGCGGATCAAATCATTACTTTGGGTGATCGAAGCTCCGCCTGTTAGCCTGTTAGCATAAAACGGACAAATTGCTCCGTGCGGTCCAAATGACTATATTTGCATTGGTCCTACTGTTGTGAAATTAAAGGTGACACAATTAAACTCAGAACTTATTTCATGTATCCTCCGGCATGATGATCTCGGCATTGTGGCACTGTGACAATATTCATGAAACATCAGAAAGCCATCAATCTCACGACGTCTTGCGACGAACACTGGGTTCTGAAAATGCCCCATTTGTAAAATAAGTAATAAATAATTAATTTTTAGCTAGAACAATTTCAGCTGAAGAAAGTAAGCACAACGATCCATTCGGAACCAGCCTGTGTCACATGACTTCGTTTAAAAACGTCCGTTAACCCACTCATGTCCCAACGTCCCACGAATTGCAGTAACGCCTTCCAGTTGCGTAAACAGTGTGTAAATTAATTATGGTCCACTCAGATTTGTGAGTTTTATTGGGCATGAAATGAAAAATGGGGTGAATGGTCCTTTTTTGAACTTCACAATTTCTGTTTTGGTCTGGCTAGGCTGGGGCATCTGCGCTGCGAATGCAAAAACACGAACCAACTTAGATTCCGACTGACGTGGCGAGCGGGGATTTGTGCTGCTTGACGCCAAGGCCACACTGGTCCCGTCTGCCTCTAGCGTGTTTAATTCAGCGTGAAAACCTTTTATTATTATTCATACATGCATGAGGTGTGTAAGAAGGGTTGTGTGGGCCTCATCGGGTGTCCATTTTCAAATTTTATATGTCCGGTCGGGTGTTTCAGTGTTTTTTTTGCGGATTCAGAGTTTCATTTTACATTCACAGTATTGTGCATCACTTTGAAATTTACGCTGGAAACAACAGAAATTTGACCAACGTATTCCAATCTAAACTCGAAATTCATGTGGCTTAATGAATTTAGCTTTTACTCCAGAAAAGAATTGTTGTGGGCCCCAGCATGTGGTCTTGAACCACGCCGGGGCCACGGAATTAAGCCTGGCCCGATTACGCTTGCTTGATGACAGTGATGAAAGGAAAAGGCCCGAGAGGACGTAGACACAACCGTTTACTTCAGGGCTCAACCAAGTTGGCGTCGTTGTGTCGTGTGTGGGGTTTGCGCATGTGTATTTATAGCTCGGATACGTGAGTCATACATGCGCTAACATCGGGACCTATGCGTGGGGACACTCCAAGATAAATATTCGTGCTAATGAAGGGGGAGTTAAGGGTTCGAGGGGCTGGCGACATGCTGCGACAAGGGGAACCCTGTGTAGGGGGTGGAGCAACCGGAATAGGGGGTTGAATAAACAGGATTCACGACAGAACTAACGACCCTGATCAGGAAGGTCTTGGTTAACCTGGAACGACATCAGTCAAGTCGTCCTCAATCCTTCCATGTGGGAATTAGGGTCTTTCTCTTGATGCAGAATACTGCCAACGCGAAATCAGTCTTCTGGTCACAGAAAGGCCGATTTATGCAAATAATGTGATAAACTCTCGTGTGGGCACTACAGAAAAGCTTTAGCTTGAACGAATCTTGTAGTTGGTGCCATAATCACATAGTGGATTTGGACGAGTGCACTTTCCGATCGGCAAATCACAGACAGTGTTGTTGTCCATGCAAACTTCTCTACAACGCACTGGCAGGAACCAAGGTGTCTGCCTCATTTGACAGGCGATAAACTCACCGAGTATTCGTGGAAGAACGATATGACGACACAGCAAGTGCCCTGTCACGGTAACTTACAGTGGTTAAACGGTGTGAATTTATTCGCCGGGTCGTGAAGACAGCTGTATTACGTCGTTTTTGCTTGGCGTTTTAGAAACTTACTGGGCGGCTACCCTCCGACTGCATTCCGGAGTGCGGAGCGGGTCACATGACAGAGCCTCTGACAGTGATCACCCGGTCGATAACCTGTCAGAGTCCAGTCAACTTCTCAGAGGCCACGTCAATTCCTCTGTCCGTCACCTCCAAGACGAGAACTCCTCCAAGTACCTCCGATCCGACGAGTTCCGTGCACGAGCATTGGTCACTGAAGCAAGTCCCGGTAAAGTGCAACCTCGAACTTCCCTACTGCATTGTCGACGCCCCGAGAGTTTTAGTAGTGCAAAAGTTCTATCTAAACTAGTTCCCTTCAACATATATTATTATTTTTCTCACCAATTTATGGTTAAGGAAGTGGGCTAGTGTATCCAGAAACTCCTTTTCGCATTTTCCTGTGACCAAATAACAAATTTATAAGCCACACCAAGTACCTTGTGCACCACCTCGCAAGTAATCTTCACTCTTTTGAACTGTACCGACAAAAAGGAGTTTTGCAGAAGTAAGTGTTTGGATTATAATGGGCCCAGCAAGAAAACTTGGTTTTGAAAAACTGGATAATGTAACCATATTAGGTAGATGTGTTTCAGTTGTGAAGTGGAAAGATATTATGGCAAAATACGTGAAGTTTCCGTGTAAAATAACGTCAACAGTTCGCCTAAACACTAACTTCTCCCTTTAAATGCGATTTGTAGAATTGTGGTGACCAATCGAGGGCACAGCTTAAATCTTTTCCTTAAAGGTTACGTGGTTTTAAGTTGCACCACCAAATGAGGGTTTAGCATACGCTTTTACAGAAAGGTATCCCAAGTTCGTGCATTCTAGCACAAAGGTCATTTGAACAATACCATGAATTATAACAGCCAAAACGTCTAAACTTTTATACCTGAAGTGCACATTTATGGAAAATTTGGAATTTGGTTTAAACTAGACTGCAGAAGTCCCCAGGAAAGACCTTGATTTAGTAAATGTAAATCTTCTTTTTAAAAACACGTGAATCATTAGTTGTCGAGGCGCTTCTTTGGTAACGCAAATCCACGAGTTTTTGAATCACTTGTTTGAAATAAATTATAGGAAAAAATGCAATATTTCATACGCAACAACTCTTGATTATCCATGTGACCACAAGTATTTGGTAGAATTGAAGCACTTCAAGTTAGTGGTCGATTTCCAACCACGCTCGCTGTAGCACGTCTTGTGAAACTGTGTTCAGGGCCCCAGAGATTTCAGTGAATATCCAGATGGAAATCACATTGCTTCGAATTAGGTGGCCGTCGAGTAATTTCAGCAGCAACACGTCGTCTCTACCGACATCATGTTTGATCAATCTTCCTAGCATTTTCTCGATGTGATGCGCTTGCGCTGTGACTTTCCAGGATGTTGGAGACTCATTTTAATGGAAAATTAATCCCCATAGTCTCGCTTGTTTCACGTTTTGTCGGGTGGTCATTCCCAAAGCATCTTCTGATAGCCCTCTCAAGAAAAAATGGACCAGACACAAAGGACTTTGAACTGCACCGGAACACACTCAATTTTTGCTAGTCCCTTTATGCTCATGTGCGATATTTAAGTGTGATACTTTACCTATGTGCAAGGTACTGCGGCTGCTCTTGGCGTAGTTCATCTAGTTCGACTTTTTTAGCTCGTGGCAACCGATCACTTTGGCTCATCAGAGAACAACACGGTTTGTTCAAGCGAAAGAACCACGGCAACACAAGCGCTCTTCGACAGCCACCTTTCATCGACCTCTCATCAGCAGTCAACGAACGACGAACAATTAGAGATTTCATCGACGACGCAGCCTCAGACAGAGGGCCGCGTCGTCCGGAACAATTACGAGATGATGCACAGATTTGGCGAACCAAAGGCGGGCTGCCAGAAAATTCACAACGGAAGGGCAGGCACGGCATCGCCAACACCACTTCCAAAGTACCACAGCCGCTGGTCCGAGTCTCCAACAGTTGTAAGTTGTTCCTCATTTTGACATTTCGAACTTTGGCATGACTAGATGAAGTAAAATGTCAGTTTTCATAGCTTCAGTGAATCAATCAAAGCACTAATCAACCATTCGTAGTTTAAACCATCTAAATGAGATCAGAAAGTAAAAAGCGAATTGAAATATCTATTTACCCCCGAGACCAATTTATTTGTATATTTAAACTGCAGTTCCACTAAAATTTAGTCAGTAAAATTTCCATTTTCTGATGAAATTGAAACTTTTTGAGAAAGTAGGGAGCTCTGGCTTGTAAAGTGATCAAAAATTGTCGGAATAAGATCTCCTGGAATGCTGAAACATTTTCACCGAATCTCCTCCATTCTTTTTTAATCAGAATATAATTTAAAAAGTTTTTGTTATAAATTATTATTACAGCTATTCTGCTTGATTGTTTTTTTTTGAAAGAAATCAGTAGACAAGCAATTTTAACCTTGATAGGCTTTTATTAAGTAGAAGGAATTTTTTGGTTCTTCAGCTACAATTCTTTTATAAGAGGATGCTAGCGAGTCCTTTGTTAGTATCAAGAGTTTCAGATTCACACGGATTAAATCGTAAATGATCCGAAAACAGGTGTCTAATTAGCATCGGGTTGCGTATTTCCAGGGGCATTTAAAACGTCTTGACCGCTGGCGGATGAAGCATCCTTCGTTTTAAATGGCGCGTTATCAAATCATTTCTTTGTTGTGCAGTTACATTGTGTTTGCTCTATTTCAAATCATCACTATTGTCCTCAGATTTAATTGGAATGCGGGTAAGAAAATCACGATGTAAAATGACTACTGTCTTAACTTGAGTGCATTACTATGGCAACCCAACGTGTTTAAGCTACTTCTAATTTTACCTAGAAGCACCTCAATACTCAAATGTTGGTGAACTGAGGTTCATTCAGAGTAACGTAAATGTCATGTTCTTGAAGAAAAGCTGCTAGAGCCAAAAGCCGTACATGTTATTCACAAATTTGTCTGGATTATAGGAAACTGCAGCTGTTGAACCAGTAAGCAGTGTTGGGCAACTGACAAGCCAGGCACTGTGTGTAAGCCTTTCGCAGAATGGTTTAAATTCCAGCTACCCAGGATTTTCACTCATGGATTAGCGTTGGTAGATCCCATGATTACTTTTGAATGACCTCACGATGGTAACATCACAAAATGACCTATTGCTGGTACAGCTCAGGTTTCATGGCGTGGATTTTGATGCCCTGCTGTGATTGGTTTCAATGTAGTCCTTACACTAAATTCCTCTTAACCGCTAAGCACTCGGTAAATTTTATAAAGTGGCAAGAAACAAGTCCTCACTTGATTGTCCCTGGCTTGTTTTTTCAAAAATCTGTTTTAAAACCTTTAACTTGTGGCTAGTCAGTGATTTATCAAATCTGGTTAAAGTGTCGTTAATTTTGCAATTCATGAGCAATCACCGTTTTGGATAATAATATCGGCTGTGGAACAACGAGGCATTTTGTACGAGTCCAAAGCGAGTACCTGTGCTTAGATTGGACCTCTTAAAATCAGCAATGTTTCCCAAAAACCCCGTTATGAAGATGGATTTAGGTAAAAAACTGTTTGAAACCATCTGTCGTATCTGAGATTTGTTGTCCATTAAAAGGACGGGCTAAAGGGGTAAATAATTTTAAATTCACCAGCATCCACCGTAATAACATGAACAGGTTAGATAGAATGCCAGGCACGGCTTTTTATAGAGAGTAAGCAAAACAGGATTAGCATACTATTACACATCATGTCGCAAAATTGAAGGAACGAGCATCCGAACTGAGCCAGCAGTAGACAGTGAATATGAACACACGCACACACCTTTAAGGAGCTGAGAGACCTCAAGTAGATCAGATTACTTTGCACACACAGAGAACATTTTGGACTAGATTGAAATCCGACCATCCATTATAGACGGTTTACCACGTACCCCAGGACTTGAATTTCCACTTAGGCAGTCATAACTGGCATCATGGAGATTATTTCACGATGACTTTAACAGACTTTGTGTCTCAAAGAGATGAAACCTGCTGGGATACAACAATGTTGATTGCTAGAGACTTCTTCATGAAATGCACCCAAGTACGTAACTTGTGCATTAATAAGGACCAGATTTTTAAAATCAGTGCCAAAGTGATTCCCTGTTTTGTCCAAACAATTCAACCTCTTTCGGGTCATCTAACCAAATAATGCCCTTATTCGAACGTCCCAGTTAACCTGATAAAAATACTTCAAAATGCTTAAAGCGTTTACACTGTTTTCGAGACTGGGCCTGACAACAGCAAGATGAAAAAAACTCCATTAAGAAGAAGGAGACGTTTTATAAGGTAGCGTTTTTTTCTAAGGAATGCATTTGTCACTTTTCGTTGCTGCTGCTTTTTCTGATTTCATTTTAACCCTCCCTGAATCACTTTTTTCAATCCACCCAATCACATGAGCTGCAAAGCCATGCGTCGCAGTCAAACCTCGGACGCTTAAATTTCCCCACCCATGTACTGTATCTTTGTTACAGTAAAACAGACATCACTCGACGACTAATTGTGTGTGAAAGGTTGACTATTCCATAAAAAAAACTTTGCGGCTTTACGCAAGTGGTTACGAAACAAGGAAATGATGCGTAGATACCGATATAGGTAGTCCATCAAGAGCATCACCCTCGCCTCTAAAATCATCAATTTCCGTTGCTCACACGTCAGTTGAAGCAAAACTTCAGGTATGTAACTTAACTTATGCAGATTTTTCCTAGCTTAACACTTTATTCAAAATAAAGACTCTTTTTTGTTGTCTTTAGCGTTTTTGAAGGGATCAGACGCTCGGTTTCGATATGTCAAGTCTATACGAGTGACATAAACACCTCAGAATAGCTGAGTTTACGATGGCAACAGTGATAAACAGTACATTCTATGGCACTGAATTTTAATCGAATTCCAAAAGGGAAGCAATGCTTCTAAAGCACGAGGGTAATCAAGTTGAAGTGTGCATTATGTCTTATGAAACGTGCAATCATTGGTACAGACGTTTTAGAAGTGGTGATTTCGATCCTAGTGACCAGCAGTTTTGAAAGTTTTAAGATGCGGAATCGCATGCTCGACTGAATGAAAACTCAGGGCAAACGTGATAAGAGCTTGTAGCTCCGTTAGGTGTCACCCAAGCACCTATTTCCAAGCGTTTGCGCCAAATGGGTAAATTTTCAAAAACTTGGAAGTTGGGTCCCTCACATACGTTGACCGAACACAACCTAGGTCAACGTAAAAGCACACGCCTTTCACTGCTTGCCCTCCGACAACAAGCAGTGGATGGACTTATTGTAGAACGTTGTGACGGGCGATGGGAAGTATATGGTTTAAGAGGATCCCAAACGCAACACGGTGTCGTGGGTATATCGACAGGACGCTCACTTGAAGGGGGTTCTCCTGTGTATCTGGTGGTACATGAAGGGAATTCCTGGAAACTGTTGTCAGACGGTGACTGCGGAACTCAACAGTCAACAATTGAATAGAATGAGCGAAGAATGTGATCAAAAGGCCATTTCATAGACAAGGAAGCAGGCAAGTCACACGGTTACTGCGTAGCAACGCTCGACCACCCCACATCGCTCACTGTTCGTGCTCCGAAGATCCTCTTGAATTTGAGATGGGAAGTTCTTCTGCTTGCGATACATTTACCAAACTTGGCCTCAATTGACTAGCATTTGCTCCGGTCGCTGCACCTTAAGTTCGCTGCTCTCTACTATTTATATTAGATAAATTTGCTAAAAGCCAAATAAGTTAAGTCATACACCCTAAATTAGACGGTGGAAACTTTTCAGTGGTTCTGTTGAGCCGTCTGGTGAATCCTTTGGTTATCAAACTAGATCAGCTGACCAGCCCACAGGATAGAATTACAAACAATTGTCTAATGTTTCTGCCTATTTATAGTAATTCCTTGTAAACGTCCATATTGTGCCGCGGGTGTTATTTTGGAATGAAGCCCGATTTCGTAACTGTCACGCCTCTTTAACACGTGGTAATTATACTGAAGCACCGTGACACTTTATTCGCCACAAGCGAGTGTCAAGTAATGAAATCCTCACCGGTCCTCCTTTGTCAGCGTACCATTGTTGAGGGCCCCGGCATGTTGTCTAGAGCCACGCCGGGGCCACTGCGACAATCTAGGCCGAATAAGGTACCCTGTGTACCCGCGAAAATAAAGAAGACCGGAGCGGAGAAGGCACAACCGTTTTAATAGACAGCTCAACCAAGTTGTGTCGTGTACAATTACGGACAAAAGTAAACACAGGTGTCTGTGAGGTCACATGAATAAAACGCGTGGTGGTGGGACTTGTACAGTGGTTAATGAACCAATGGCCCCACGTGACTGACGGGCAGGTCGCGAACAGAGGGGACATGTGTGTGAGGCTGCGACGATTCACTGCACCATTATTAGGCAAAATATGCTATTGTTTAGGGCGGTTTTCCCCATGTACAATTGGGCAGCATGTGTTTAAAACCCGACCCCTCTTCCCCACATCTGTGCGACTTCGCAATTTCTGCCTGCTGACAATTTGTATGCACGTCGGCCCTTTAGGGCTGGTCAGACCAAGCCGGGGAGGCGCGTCCTTGTGTAGTTTTGGTTATTGCGCGTGGCACAGAAGTTGCGCTCTATCGACAATACCCGTGGCTGTTTTTTACCTCTTCTGGTACCTTCTTTTGTGCAACCTGGCCTTCCCTTGTACTGGTTTGCGTCTAAATAGTTGTTTCCGGTTGGTTAGGACCAGGGACGAGGAATTATAGGCTGTTGTTGTATTTTTAACTGTAAATATACAAAAACTGACTCTCTTATTAAGAAATTAAATAAAAGAGTGAATTATTTCATCCAAATATTCTTTGTAAAAATCCGCTTAAAATACTGTGTTGTAGTAGAAGAGGTCCGAACTGTAAAAGTTCTGCCCGTAGCATTGCAAATTTAGCAATATAACAATGCTACTTTGGTGTGAACACGGTATCACTAAAGTCAATTGATGCCCATATGTTAGAATGGTG